GAGGATTAAAAATAAATAAATAAAAAGCTACCTCTAAAAAAAAATAGTGTTGACTTTTCTGGGTCTTTTGCCTCTTTATAAAGCTTCAGAATTAGTTTGTTGAAATACAGAAAATAACTTGCTGGGATTTTGATTGAGATTGTGTTGAATCTATAGATCAAATTGAGAAAAACTGCCACCTTGACAGTACTGAGTCTTCCTATCCGTGGACATGGACTATTTCTCCATTTACTTAGTTCTTTGACTTCCTTCAACAGTTTTGTGGTTTTCCTCATATATATTTTATACATATTTCGTTAGATTTGTACCTATTTCACTTTAGGGGCTGATATTGGTAAACAGTATTCTTTTTTTAATCCTCACCCAGAGGATATTTTTTCCACTGCTCTTCAGACTGTGGAAGGGAGAGAGAAACATCGATGTGAGAGACCCCAGTGGGCTGCCTCCTGCAGGTGCCCTGACCCGAGGCTGGGGATCGAGCCTGCAACCAAGGTACATGCCCTCATCTGGAATCGAGTCCAAGGACCGACCCCCTAACCACTGCGCCAAACCGGCTAGGGCTGTTTTCAATTTCATTTGTTCATTGCTCGGATACAGGAAGGCAATTACCTTCTGTATTTTAACCGTCTATCCTGCAACCTTACTATAATCATTATTTCCAGGAGGTTTTTGTTTTGTGATTCTTTTTGATTTTCTACATAGACGATCATTTCATCTGAAACAAAGACAATTTTATTTCTTCTTTCCAATCTGTATACCTTTTATTTCTTGTCTTTCTGCATTAGCTAGGATTAGCAGTGTAATTCTAAAAAGGAGTGGGGAGGACTTCTTGCCTTGTTCCTCGCCTTTAGCAGAAACACTTCATTTTTTTACCATTAAGTATGTTAGCTGTGGGGTTTTTGTAGCTATTCTTTATCTAGTTGAGGAAGTGCTCTTCTATTCTTAGTTTACTGAGAATTTTTTTTCATAAATGGGTGTTGAGTTTTGCCAAATCTTTTCTTCATCTATTGATAGGATCATTTCATTTTTCTTCTCTAGTCTATTGATGTGGTAGGTTTTATTAACTGGCATTCGAATATTTAACCAGTCTTGAATCCCTGGCATAAATTTCACTTGGTTGTAGTTGAACTTACATCTTTTAATACTAATAATAAAATCAGTAATTTTAGATCAAATTTGTATATCTGAAAAATTATTTTACTAATCAAAAAACCCCTTAATAGCTATAAAGCCTATACTTAAGAATTCTAATATAATTTTTGCCAAGAATTTCTTAGAACAAGCACTTGTTCATGCATTTTTAAATCTCTCAATATATCAAAACGATATTTGTATACTTTCAGAGACCCATCTGAGTACCCATACATTCTCTCTCTGCACACGTGAACATACACACACAATTTAGTGCCAATGTTTTATGATTAGAGTGGTCTAAAACAGTAGACTCACAACAGGTACAAAATGCCTTTGCATCTTCAAGTCCATCGTAGAGCAAAAGACGGAGAAAAGTTAAGAGACATAGATACACTGGTAGGTGTTTCAAAAATTATTTTTATTGTTCCATTCCAAAGAGGACATAGGAAAAAAAAAGCCAGTTATCCAATGACTGTTACACCTTTCAGAGGGAGGCACACAGAACTCCAGTACTCATTTAAAGCTGTATACACCAGAGCTTAAACTGCCTCTCAACCTGACCAGAAATGCTGACAAATATGTGTATGTCATCAATCCAGCAAGGCTCAGTTTAAAAGCAAATTTCTTTACTGCAAGTATCCAAGTCCTTTGGATTCATCCTTAAAGATATTAGGGGATGAGAAAGACCACACATGCCAAGACTATGTTTAGTCTTTAGAGTAAACTAGCAAGTGGCCAGTTTGTTCTAGGATCATTGCACCAGACATCACAGTACTTAAAGAAAACCTGCATCTTGTGAAGAGCCACCAGGCATTTCAGATCTAGTTTAACACAAAGTGCAGCCACAGGTCAACCAGATACCTAGACAATATAGTTAGTGCAAAATTCAAAAGGGAGAAGTCAGGGCTTTGATGAGGCTGGCCACACTGCAAAATATACATGAAACTTGAAAATATAAGGTACAGCCTATTTACAAAAGTTTTTTTAGTAAAGTGACTTGAGAAAAGTTATGTTAAGCATCCTTCTGTCCCTTGCCAAAAAAAAACACCTGAAAATTATCTTGAAAACCAAGTTAAAACTGTGTGGTGACAAAGACAATGCTTGTTCCAGGTGAAGGACTTCAAGGTAATTTACAGGAAGAAATATTTTGTCACAAATTGGAAAAGGTTTATTGGCTGACTTGGTGTGTGCTTTTAAAAATGTCTCTATTAAAATGTTAACNGTGACAAAGGCAATGCTTGTTCCAGGTGAAGGACTTCAAGGTAATTTACAGGAAGAAATATTTTGTCACAAATTGGAAAAGGTTTATTGGCTGACTTGGTGTGTGCTTTTAAAAATGTCTCTATTAAAATGTTAACAAGAAGAAAAAAAATACCAAGCACGTTTTTTGTTTCAGGTTTTGAACTTTTCAGCAAGAGTTGATGAAATCAACAGGGTATTAAAACAAAACCCAGGAAAACTCAGTCAGTTTTTTCCAGTTGTCTCCCTTGATGCTTTCTAGTTACCTTGAATGTGATTCTCAATTAGCTGAGGACAACATGACGGTCAAAGACGGATTTTCGCTGTTCTTGAACTTGAAGCTTCCAGCGCTGCTGCGCATACTCTACCTTATTCAGCACATTGGCTCGACTGCGGGAGCGGGCCAGCACGTCGTGGGCATTTGCAAAAGGCTGGTGGTCCTAAAAGTCCAGGAATGGAGAACATAAGAGATGGGCACAATCAGTATAAAACATACACACAAAACAGCAGTTATCCAGCCAGGGACAGAAGCAGCTGGACTTTTCAAGGAATAGACCATCTATTTGCCTAAGGCTTTCTAGGCGCTCAGCTGCCAGAAGTAGTATGAACTTGACTGCGGAAATAGGTGGTTCAAGTGGCATAAGTGATGAGGAGGTATTTGTGTAATGTTCCCATGAGTCACCATTTACAAAGACATTTCCCTTAAGAAGCAGGAACCAAAGATAAACTGGTCATTTATGTTAAGGAGAAGCTTCCCTAACAGGTAAGGGAAAGAAAACCTATTTTTATGTTAGTATCCATATGCTACAGACATGGGAAGTAGGTCTTTTCCTTGCTTCATTCAATACTACATAGCTTATGTGTAGCAAAGGAAAGACCTGTCTTGTAGTTACCTGACTCCCATTATATTAGAATTGTTACTTGCCAGCTTGGGGCCACATTCACCCTGGGAGATAAGCTGAGGGGATCTTATCTTGGTTGGTTTTAATCTCTCCCTGCCCCCTCAACACATACACTAAATGGACTGGTTTACCCCTTCCCCAATCTGTAATGAAAAAAGACACAGCTCAAGTGCTAAAATTACCCTCTTTAAGCAAGGACAGTAAGGAATTATTGCTTTGGAATTTCTATTTGATAAAGACTTGACTCTTTCAATGCTGAGCACCAGTGGCTTCCATGTTAGCTGCTGCCTTAGGAAAGAGGCTATTAAAGGCTTACCCAGGTATCTGTGTAGAAAACCAGCCTACCCTGGTCAAAGTAAACCAATGCCACTGATGTTTGTGGCCATTACAGAGGAAACCATTGTGCTAATCTATCTATGAATGAGATATAAACACAGCTGCCTAATGACAAAAAACATTCAAAACTAACTTATTGCTTTTGTTTGCCTTTTCCTTGATCTCTTTTCCCAAACCCTGGTTAGCAAAGCTTCTAAATGTTCCAACACAGGATCCAAGTCACAAACTGTACCTCTTAAACTAAACTTTGTCTCTAGTAAGAAACAACATTGTTTTGCCGTGCATGTTTGCAAAAGCTCTATTATATATCCAGGGCAGGCGTCAGCTGGACTTTTATACCAGCATATAACTATACACAACTGTAATCTGGTGTTATAACACCTAGTCGTCTTTTTATACCAAGATGTGTACATAATTACATCAAAAAGTTTTCTATAAAGCATTTTTCCCTGCCTTCTTTACTAAAATTCCCTCAACTTTTCACTTAATTTAGGTAATAGCTTGTGCAAGCCCTGTTAAATTTTTATTTTTAACCTTTAAATGAAAATAATAATTTCTTAAAGTTAAAAATGTATCAAAGCTATAAGAAATAAGGTGAGGAAAGAGGAAGGCCAAAATTGTTGGATTACTCAATTTCCCATAAGGAAACAAAGCAATCCAAGGTCATCTAACAAATTAGCACAAACACCAAGACTCAGCTCACCTAACCTTGACTTGGTGTCATATTTTCTAAACATACTGATTTTGTTCAGGTAGATTAAAATGACACTATAGGGATATAGTGATGAACTTGTATATGAAATATTATCACCACTGGTTTGTTTCGACATAAACAAGACTGGGAACAAGGCTGTACTTTATCAGAAGAGCACCTCCCAGTTTCAGTCCTGCTATCTACTCTTCAAGGTAGGGAGAAAAATCTTCTTAAGGAACAAATTTAAAGGACTAAACAAACCAGTAATCCTTTTGGTCTGTTCACCTATCAGAACAAGACTGAACTAGCTGCTCACAGTTATGGATGCTAGGAAAATGTAAATAGAGATTTATCCCTTTTATAAGTTTGTTCTTTTCACACCTGATAAAATTACAATAAATACAAAACATGTTTTAATGTAATGCTTTGATAACAGCAATGACGTGTCATGGACATATAATACAGTAAATATTATGACTGCTTACAGTGAGCTTCTTAACTATTTGTACTAACTCGTTTGAAAATGCTCTACATTGAACAAAAATAAAGAAGTAAAAACAATTTAACTGAGACTATAACAAAAGCATTTTTAAAAGCACATAAATAGTGAAGAACTCTCATCTTGGGTAAGTAACAACTGTAGGAATTTAAATTTAACTTTTTACACAGAATTGTTTCCATAAATTCACAGCTCTGGTCTGAAAACCTCTCTCTGCAGACAATCAGATACCCCAGAGTCAGCCAGGCCTCTCAGAAACAATGTTCTCAAATGGTCAACTTACACCCAGAATCAATCACTGGTGAACCAAAGGTTACTAAGCACATGACCTCATCAATCAAATGCCGTTTCTACATGTTTCTGTCCACACATTGGTGCATCCATTGCTTTTATGTTCTTTGTGTATTACATTGATACTGTCCATTCCTAAAATCAGGAACCAGATATTTAATGCTGTAAGTGATGTAATTTAAGTCAGACTTTTTATCTATTTGCCTTATAATGAAATGGTTTATATGGCCTTTAATACATAACATTTTCATACGTTAGTAGTTCTCAACTGGGGGTGATTTACTTATTTGTTAATCCTCACCTGGGGGGGGGGAGACACATCATTGGTTACCTCTCACACACACTCCAACCGGAGCCTGGGATAGAACCTGCAACCCAGGTACCTGTGACCGGGAATCGAACCTGCAATCCTTTGGTGTGTAGGCTGACGCTCTAACCACTAAGCACACTGGCCAAGGTTGGGGGTAATTTTGCTCCCCATGAACTCATTTGACAATGTCTGTGGACATTTTTGACTGTCATGATTGTGATGAAGATGCTATTGGCATCTAGTCGGTAAAGGTCAGGGATGCTGCTAAATATCTTACAATGAACAGGGCAGCCCCCTACAACAAAGAATTATCCAACCCAAAATGTCAATACTGTAGAGGCTGAGAAAACCCTGTCATATGTGAATTAGCATGGGAACAACATTTGAGACTCTAGTGTTTCTGGTACATAACCACTTGTCCTTCTAGCTCTTTTACCCCATTAGCCTTGCTGTGTCTTGTTTTTGACCACATCAGACCTCTAGTCTTGACCTTTATCTCAGCCTATCAGTCCGCTCCTGAAATTCTTACAAAATAATCATTTCTTATCTAATTAAAAATAAAAGGGGTAAACAATATTAGTCATTTCTTTTACATGTATGTGTCTGTTTTATTCATCTCTTTATTGCTAGTATCTAGCACAGTATCTGATAATGAAAAAGTTACTCATGTATTGGATAAATTCATAAAAGAAACAAGGGAAAAAGAGGTAAACAGAGGTGTTTCTATGAAAATTCTTGACAAAACAAAAGTGAAATCTTGCCCAAATAAGTTGAGTACTCCTAATTGATATTCATGAGACAACGATTAATTGATCAAAAAGCAGGCTCTGTCTGGAGTTATAACTCAAGCCATCCAGTCAGAATCCCCTTTCCCATCTTTTACCAAGAGGTCCACAAGCCATTTAAGAGTAAAGGGCTTCTGACTGTGGTTAGCAAGGGATCGCCCTGGCTTTAGCTTTGCAATTGGTTCTTGAAACTCTACTGAGTTTTATCCACTTTAAGGAACATAGTCCAATAAAGTAATCCAAAAAAAAAAAGTAATTTCTAAAAAATAATATATATAAAATAATGAAAATTTAGAAATAAGCCCAAAGAGGATAATGACAAAACACAATATATTACTCTAAGCTAAACTGAATAACAAGTTTGTGGACTATGTTAATTTCTGTACATTTTTTAATGAAGTAATGTTAACATAAAAAGCAGACCACAAAACACTTACACACTGATTATACCAACTATATGTACACGTAGAAATGTGTTTTAAACATAGGAAGAGAGTCTGGAGTGATGGTTTTATTTTTCTCTAGAGTTAAAGATCATAGATTTTTTTAAAGAAGGATAACAGGATATAAAAACCACCAGTAGGTTATCAAACTGCATGCCATTAAGAAAAAAAACAGTATAGTCCTTATACTTCCTGTCACTGATGCCTTTTTACCTTCTATGATTTCTGGTGATATTGACAGGAAAGGTGTTCAGGCAGGAGTCTGGGGAGAAAGCTATCTCAGGTGCTTTTCTCCATGTAAATAGGGAAAGACAATGAAAATTGTGCTCTGGGTACTGAAGAGCAAGGCCTTGTATAACACATGAAGGATCATCAGTTTAAACCAACATATTTGTGGCTTAAAGCAATTTCCTCATAAAGAGACATGTACTAAAATTAGAACTGTCTTTAGCTTCTCTAGGTGACGATCCAGCATATGAACATCTACATTACATCATGACGATGACAGAAGCCCTTTACAGAGGTCATCATCATGAAGAGAAAGAGAACTTACCCCGATATCGTCATCACTCTGTATTAATTGTGAGTGTCCAAACAGGCGTCTCTTCAGTATGGGCTCAACCAGAGTAAGATACACCATGTATAGAAGTAGAAGGCCCAAAATGGACAGATAAATTATAATGGTAACCTAAAGGAAACAGAAAATAAATTACATCTCTGTTCAAGCCAAGAAATCATAATTTTGTATAATAATAGTAAAGCCACAGTGAAGACTGATCTATCTGCTAAGCATAAACGATTTCTATACCAACCAGATTCCAACATAAGAAACAAACTCAACTCTTCACTAAGGTATTAAAGGAAAAATGAAAGAAAGCATTTTGTCTTTGGGATCTGCTTGTGAGTCTTCAAAACCCCATTTTAACTTACTGCTAATCATCTGTGACCACTGCTGGCACAGCAGTTTTCCTTCCCACCTGAATACAGTGCTGTGGTGCTGTCAACACAACATAAAGAAGCCCTAACAGAAAACACAATGCAGAGGAATTTCAACAGAATACTCTTTTAGATCAATTTACGTGTACAAAAATATGTTTTAGGCCAGTGATTTTTTTTATCTTAATTCTTGTGCTCACACCCCCAAGAATGGCTATAATTAAAGACAGACAGTAATAAATGTTGGCAAGGATGTGGAGAACCTGAAGCCTCATACGTTGCTGGTGGTAATGTAAAATGGCACAACTTTGGAAGACAATCTGGCAGTCTCTTAAAAGTTAACATAAACTTACCTCTCTAAGAAATCTACCCAAGAGAAAGGAAAACATATTCTTCAAAGGCATGTACGCAGATATTCAGGACAGTATTATTCATAATAGTAAATATCTGGAAGTAATCCAAATGTCCATCAACTGATGAACAGATAAATAAAATGTGGTATATTCATATAATAGAATGCTAGTCAGCAATAAAAAGAAATTAAGTACTGACATATGCTACAAGAATAAACCTCAAAAACATTATGCTAAGTGAAAGAATCAGTCACAGAAGGCCACATATTGTATGATTCCATTTATATGAATTGCCCAGCTCTGTAGAGACAAAAAGCAGAATAGTAATTGTCTAGGACTCTTAATTGTAAATGGACACGAGTGATCTTTATGGGGTGATGGGAATGCTCTAAAACTAGATTTTTTAAATTTGTTTTAAATTAGCTAAGATTTATAGAATTGTACACTTACAATGAGTGACTTCTAGAGGATATAAATTATACATCAACATTTTTGTTTAAAATTAAAAAGTACAGTGAGAATTTCTCTATGGGACAGCACCCTGCTGGAGCAAGGGCTCTCCCACAGGGTTGACCACAACCAAAATCTTTGTAACTGCTACAGCTGACCACTCCAGATTTCCCATGAGGCCTCTTTTTGGGAAAGGAATGGGAGAAGAACCCGCTGGCCACACAATTAAGTAACTGAACTCATTAGTAGTCCAAACGGTGACTAAAGTGATCTACCTTCTATTTCTTATAGCAAATAAAGAAAGGAAATCTTAAAATCCAGAAGTGATGTTTCTAGAATAGGAGAGTCACTATATGTATCATTTTTTCTAAGGGTTGAGGGCAGAAAGAGGGCCTAATCACACTGCTCTCACTATCCTTGGCATACATGACCCACAGAGAAGCTGGGATAGTTTTCTGGGGTATGCTAATTACACATAGGGCATTTTTGTGCTATTTCACATATCATACCTATCTAACTTATCTTAATTGATCCACAGAGCATCTCAATGAGTCAGGCAGAGAGCAGGCCCATTGCTTCTTTTGGGGTGGGGGCTGGAGACGGGGAAGAAGGAGGTAAAGGGGGTGGTGGTGAAGAGCAGTAGCTTGAGTAACTAAAATAGAATTCACATGTCCAAAATTTTCTTTGTCTCTCAGTACCATCAAGAACTATTCCAGAGGCAGAAAAGATGGATTCTTTTTTTCACCTTGATCGTTACAGAGCTTCTTTCCTCATATTTGCATTCACAACGTAGACAGTATGCTTCTATGTCAGGCTCCCGCACAGACATGAGCTCCACAACATGAAGGCAATCGCTGGAAAAAACAAAGATAAGATAATGCTCAAGTCTAGCTGGATTTTCTACTCACACTGATCAAAACTTTCTTGAAATCCACAATAATCAATGAACTTACCAAATGAAAGAACATAAGGAACAAATAATCAATAAGGGAAGTGAAACTATTTCCTCTCTTGATATTAGCAATTTGGCAAGATTTTAGAGCCTAAGAAACCATAAAGACACATATGTAGTAACCATTTTCAAAGTTGCTACTGTTAAAAGTTAAAAATGTACCTGAAAAATCTCAAATGGGATCAGAAACTACTTAGCAGATCAAGTCATATTCAAACTTGTTCAGCTAACAAGCAAAACTGCTTTAAATGATTTTAAAGTGACCATGAAACACTGTTCAAATATGAGATTATCTCTTTTATGAATTAACTAACATCACTCTTAAGTGCCACAGTCTGGTATATGAATGGCTAATCACACCTAAGAGTTGGTGAGTTCTAAAACTCTGAAACCTGAATATTCAGATCTATAGTAAGAAACAATTACTTGTCTTAATGAGCAAAAGTCTATTGAAAAAACATGGAGAAGGAGGATTAGAACAACAAAAATATTTTAAAATAAAAACTGATTACTTCGAAGGAGTATATCAAAAATAAAAGGCTGAACTAAATGTTTTTGTTGTTGGATGTTTTTTATTTTTTCCCCATTTTCCAGGCTACTTATTTATGGCTTATGAAAAAACAATTCTATTAAAAAAAAGTATTTTCCTAAAAACCTGTCAATCCTAGAAAATAATTAAGTTATTACTCTCACCAGAGCCTACTACTCTGATCACCTTCAGCAAAAGTAGGCAAACTTTTCTGTCCTGCTGGGCAGTTTTCTTCTGTTCTGGCATCTCTTCCTTAGGCATTTCTGGCTGCCAGAAGAACTCTACTATAGCTACCTGTCTTGCTATATCCATCCTTCTTTGGGGCACCCAATGTTCAGGGCTGATTCCTTCCCTTTGCCCTATCAAAACATACTTTTTTTTTGTTTCATTCCAGCTGCTCTGTGGCATAAAAAAAACCAAACCCAAATAACATAAACAAAAAAAGTTCAATCAGTTATACTTAACAGGTAACTTAAACAAAGGTAATATGTAATGAAACAATAAGTCTCTAATGGTAGAATTTCAAATAATGGTAAGGTCCCACAATTCACACCATACAAGTGTGTGATATCTGTTGCAAACATATAGAAGACCAGGAATGCAGCCAGCTGGATGCAGGCATAAAACAGGCAGAGAAAGTTAAATCCCATTACAGGAGTATCTATCTCAGAATCAGAGCCCATCCAGCCCAGCACTCTTAGAGATGTCACCTGCACAAGGTCACAGAGTAAATTACTAGGTGAAAGGACTAGAATCCAGGGCTCCTGTATCTCTCTGAACTTCAGGAAAATGAGGCTTATCTCCCATGTAGTTTCCTATTTCAGCTTCAGAGGCCTTAGTAAAATACCTAAGAATTATCTGAGAATCTAAATGCTGAGTAGTATTTCTTTTGAAGAATATAGTTTAATAATGATGAGATACTGAGTGCTCTGCAAAAGTTGTGCCGGGTGGGAGAGGAAGCAGGAAGGCTGGCTCTGATTGGCTAGTCATTGTAAACACAGAACCCAGATAGAGAACTCAACCACTTTAGGAACTAGGCAACACCTCCCCCTAGTGCCAAAGGGAGGACATTTTTGGCTTTAAATCACACCCCAAACACAAACCAGAGAACTCACACTTCTCTTAAGTCACACAGCATAAGTCAATAAAGAATTAAAGATAACTGAACACAATGGAGGCCAGAAGGTAAATATATATTAGGCCAGATAGATATTGGAGGCCTTGTCAAGCCATAACATAATTTGCCTATACTTCTGCCAGTTAAAAACTTTCAGTGACAACTGGGAACCTATCCTCAGTAAATGGCTAAGCTATAGGAAGGAAGCATGGAGAGAGGGAAGAAAAATCCCAAACATGCCGTGTTTTCAACAGTGTATTTTCAAAGCTCCCTCCTTTGACCAATAACCAGGGATGAATGACATATGGTTCTGTCTGAACCTGGAATAAGTCAATGAAAAGATTAGTGCTAATTTACTTGAACAGTGAGTTCATTTGCCACTCAAATAATAGGCATATTTTATTACTGATAACAGCATAAACTGTAAGTGCTCAATATTTTTAGAAAATTTATAGGAAAAACTTATTTGAGCTTTCTTGTACCATATCAAATAACTTGCTGCTATAAAACCTGTAAGACCTAGCTAAATCACTTTATGAGACAATTTAAGTGGAACGTGGAAGTTCACAAGACATTCTCAAGAACATACTTATCAAATATTAGCTTGAACCAAAATGGGAAGAACAGACAATAATATCAGAAAAACTAAACAAGCTCAAAGGCTGTCTTTTCTTTTTCAAAGTCAGCTTGGAATATCAGAACCAAATGAATTTAATTTTGCTTTTCTTTTTTTAAAATATAATTTAATCCTCATTTGAGGATATTTTTTCCATTGCTTGTGAGAGAGTGGAAGGGGGAGAGAGAGAAGCATCGATTGGTTGCCTCTTCCATGTGCTTCAAGCCGGGGATCGAGCCTGCAACTGAGATAGCATATGTGCCCTTGGCCAGAATCAAACCTGGGACCCTTCAGTCTGTGGGCTGACGCTCTAACCACTGAACCTAACCAGTTAGGGCTTAATTTTACTTTCAAATTTCTGCAGGCTGTTTAGCTGTGAAATCAACTACATGTGAAAGTACATAGCATTTGGAGCTATTTTTCTTCTATGCATATCCTGGTATTCTTCTACTATGGATACAAACCATAAAACATTACAATTCTATGGGAAGGAGCTCATCTATCCTGTGACAAAACAACTGCTTCCCAACCATTTTATGGCACATGCAGACAAAGCTATCATTTGTAAGGTCCACTGAGATAAACAGAGAAGGCTGCTGGTGGCTAGCCAGTCAGGATCCCACTCATCACAGGCCTGCCTGATTACCCTGAGGACTGAATGGATCAATACCTTATCACACCTATAATCTATTCATGGCACATCAATTGGGAAACTGATATACATGATTCATTCCCATTCCTTCCTGAGTCTCTAACACTTTTAAACATAGTCTCCTATATTTGGCAATATACCATCAGAACCTACAAGTTGTAAAAATTATAACCCAGATAAATGAGGCTTGCTTACCGATTTCACTGAAAAGCAAGAGAGAGGGCCAAAATTTAAGGAGGCAAAGGAAGGAAGTTTAGGTGGCATAAACTCGGCCCCATCTCCACAGAAAACCCACCCTACCTGGGGCTAAGTGTTTTTGCTATATTCCTTTAGGCTTACATCATGCACTCAGGGCCTTACTCACTTTTTCAAATGGAAATGGAATTTGAGACTTTTGCTTAGAAAGAAATACTTAAACAGAAAACAATACACTGGATAAACATTCTGCGCTAACAGTGACAACCACAGAAAGAAATTTGACAGATAATTAAGTAATCCAGAATACTTACCAATCTTTTTGGGTTATGTTCCTATTATAAATATGCCCAGGAATATCTTTATAGGGAGGACAAATACATTTACACCGAACATCCCCAGAATTCTGTAACCAAAATGGAAACTTAGTATATAACTTGTTTGACAGTTTATCAGTTTTCAAAAAAATGAACCATATACATTTTGTTAAGCACCCCCTGCCAAATGTTCTAAAGCCATTCACTTAAAACTTTAAATAACTTTGAGAGAGACACGTTTTTAAAAGCCACAAGTTCTTTTTGGTAATGCTAATGAATCATTAAATAGGACATAAAATCATTTTGAAATAATACTTAGTACATGATCTGTAGCTTATTAGTCACATTTCTGGGCCAATAACAATCAAATTGTGCTAATGTTATCACCATCTACCTGTTAGTAGAAAGATAAAGCACATGGACAGCTGTGCCTACAAATAAGAATGTTGATTATAAAAGGATAGGGAAGAATCAAACTAAAAACTACTCAAAAAGCAGGTCTCAATTTTTCTATCCACCATTCTTCCATGTTATGATTGACATGGATAAAAGGGGTTGAGCCAGAGTCCTATAGAGGGGATGAAGTTTTAGAGGCACTTGGCTACAATTAGAAAGAAAGTACATAAGGGAAGTAGCTTGAGTTTAACTGAGATCAGTTTGGTCTACCCTTCCCAGGAAACCCTGCTTCTAATCCCTGGTAGACAGAGAGGACAACTGCTGATAAAGCAAATTTCAAGAGGCGGAGGAAGAGGTGACTAATATATAAATAGAGTGCATAGATGATGCTTCCTTAGCAAAGGGAATCTACCTGAGAAGGCAGTGGCTCATTGGTCCCAGAGGACCAGGTTCACTGCTCTTATATATGGCATGTCTGGCCGAGTTATTGACAATTCGCTCGTTCGTCATCCATTTAGTGAGCATTTGCTTGGTGCCAGGCCTTGTGCTCAATGACGTGAATTCAGATAAGTATAAGACATGCTTCCTGTTTGTAATTAGGATGTGCCCTAGTAAAGGAGACTGACAAATAAATACATTATTACAATACCCTACACCTAAGTGATGACAAAGAGATATGCAGAGGGTGCCAGCAATGTTTTGAAAGTCAGGAGACTTGTTGCTGTACCTGTTTCTGGTGGAAGGTAGGGGAGATTTCAACAAGAATCCCTGATCAAGAACCTATCAAAACCCCTGATCTGTCTGCCTGTAATCTGTCTTTCCCAGACTCTATATTTTAAAATATTATAGATTAAAGCTCCTAGGTTAAAAATATGCATATGTCATTCTGTTTTACCATCACATTAATGTGAATCCTTCTGCTTTCCCCAATAATGAGCTACTTGTCAAGGAGGAACCACAAGTGTGTATGGGGCCAGGTCAGGTCTGGACAGTAGGGGCAGGCAGGGGGCTAGAAAGCAGCATGAGGAACTAGAAGGGCCAAGAAATGGCGCAGGGAAGAAGGCCACAACCTAGTCTCTTCTGTAGTTTGGTTCGTCCCTTACCTACTAAATTGTCAGTTACAGAGAAGGCAAAAGAGGGGTGAAGAGGCGCTGGAAGGATTTAGGTGAGGATATTAGGCTGGCTAGGGCTCGGGAAGTCCTATTGGGAAGGAAGACTGCCAGGAGAGGCAGATTCCCACAGTTGTAAAGGAATCTGCTCAGGGATGAGTTGAAATGACTTAGTTCCTAAGAGGGAAGACTACTGAGAGGTGGGGGCTTTCCACCATTTTGGCTTGGGGAATGGGGGCGCCGCGGTGGTCTGCGAGGCTGGTGGAGGGTGCTGGTCGGCTGTCAGAGCTCAAGGGTGGGAAGTTAACGTTAAAAGGGGGAAAATGCCAAGGAGGTGGAGGACATGCTGTCCGGCTGTGGGCACCGCCAGGGCTGGGGGTGGAGTGGGGACGGTGACGGTCAGGCTGTCAGGCAGGAGGGCGCCGGGTGGGGGGCAG